AGAGGGAATGCTGCAGATGTCACAGAGTCTTATTCGGTTCGTTTTCTCCTGAGCTCTCTTCTCCCTGTCTCAGCTTGGGGTGTCCTCGCCCCACTTTTTTCTTCTTCTTACCAGTCAGCTCCCCACCTCTACCTCCTTTTCTCCTTGCTCCCCCTTGCAACACTTCCCAACTACTTTTCTGTCCCCCCGATGTTTCTCTTGCTGCCCCCCACCCTGCCCTCCGTGGGTCTCTAGGTCTCTGCTACCCCCCCTTCTCTGTCTTTCCCTTTTCTCTGTGTATTTCTCTCTGTCAATCTCTGTCTCTAGGTGTCTCTCCCGGGTATGGCCAGGGTTCCCCTGGGGTTTTCTCTTCCCCTTTCTTCCTGTATTTGGAATCAGGCGTGGGTTTGTACCCTCGCCGTGTGATCCTTGTGTGTGGGTGCATTGGGAGCAAGTGAGGCAGTCGGTGCTTGGGGGGCTGTGTGCATGACCACCTTTTATCAAGAAAGCCTCTTCGGGGTTATTGACTTGAGGTTTGCACCTATTTCATTTTTTTACTCTTCCTTACTCTTTGTTGGTTTCAGGTAATCCTGTGAGTTCAGCATTAAGCCTCAGCTGAAGTCCTTCGGAAGGGGATGTTGTCTCTGGGAATAACTCCCTAGGCTCACTTAAATGAGCCAGAAAGTAGAAAGCAAGGGTCCGCAGGATGCTTATCTAATAAGAATGTCCCTTATACCTAAATGAGAACATCAGCACCATAAGGGCTGATCCTTGGAAACAAGCTCATTTCTTCATCCTTGGAAATGGGCTCAGGTTATTTTTCGGTATCAGAAGAGTTTGATTTAAAAAAAAAAAAAAAAGGTGATGTGTCCATTTTACCCTCTAGCATGAGTAGGTATAATGCAGTGCCTTCTTCATGGCCCCGTCCCATAAGGAGCCTGCCTGACGCTGGAGGACACCTCTGGAAATCTGCTTCAACTCCCCATGTGTGTGCTGTGGGTGCCAGTCCAACCTGGGTCCCAAACTTGTGTTTGTGCAAAGAAAGCGTTTGCATGAAAGGCGTTGAGGCTTTTGGGTGACTGTCTACCATCTGTCCAGTCATTGCACATTTGTTTACCTGCTGCAAGCAATGACATTGAGGAATCTGCTGTGGAATTGAGGGCTGTGAACTCTTCCTGACCCTTTTCCTCTGGGGTCCAGCACTGGGCGTCTCTCACTGGCCTTGGATACCACTGGTTCCATGGGATCCGGAGGGAAGGACCAGAGAGTTCCTGGAGCACTCGGGATAGGAGCTGCAGGTTCATGGTGACCCGCGTTGGCTGTCGGCACTCCTGGCCACCCGTCCAGGGGGTTTCAGAGGAGCTCAGTACCCAAGTGGTCGTCTGCATCACGTAGGAGCCTGTGGTCAGTTTTAAGAAGTAGGTGTCATGTACAGCTTAGTATAGATTTGGAAAGCTGTTTTTCCCATCTACACTGCTGCTGGGAAGAGATTTAGGAGAGAAATGAAAGGTGTGGGTGTTGTTTGCCATACCTGCAACTGTCTCATCCCCCAGGATGTCATTCTCCTTGGCAAATTGTACTTCAGTTTCCTTTTTATTGTAAGTGCAGAACATTGTGGTCACAAGTCATACACGGGCATGGAAAGGAATGGTGTCACGGCTCTGCGGTTTCTCTTCTTGGGACAGTGAGATGTGGATAAAGAATGAGCACCCACGCTTTGTTCAGCTTTTCTGATCCAGAGGAATAGATTTTGTTTTTATCTTGTGAATTCCCTGATTAGATCTTTTTCCCTACCTGCTTGGTTGAAACCCAGTTTCTCCTACTTTCCTCCAGCATCGTTAGAGGATTGCAACAATGTTTCTCTTTTTTTCCCTTGCTCCTGACCAAGGGCTTAGTTTTTGGAATAAAACATAGGCCATTTCAGCTGGGCCTGCCCTTGCTGTGCCTGGTGTGTCTGATAATAAGCTCTCCTGGGATGGGGCCGAGGCTCCTCAAGCCAGGCTAGGCTTGTCTGTCTGCTTCCCTTCAAAGCCTGTTTTTATTTTTATGCAGTGATGCCAGATAGAAGAAATGGAAAGTGGGAAAGAGAAAATGAGTCCAAAGCTACATACTCCAAGCAGAATCATTAATATGCTTTCCAGGAACTAAGACAGCATAGGCAGGGTGGTTCTTTAGCCTCAGTTTCCCTGGCATTTCTCATCTTCCTTGAAGCTCATGCTTGCAGCAGTTACGAGTTCTGTGTTAGGGGAGGCTATGGGGTATAATTTTCTTGGGCCGGGGAGTTAGCTCAGTGGCACTGCGCCTGTCTCACAAGCACAAGGTCCTATCAAACTGTGTTACATCTGGGTGTGCCCACCATGGCTGGGCTGCAGTTTGGAGTCTGTTCAGTTGCAGGCCTTCGTGAGTGTGCAAGAGTTTCCCGGTCTCACCACGGCCTCCCCTTTGTAGGACTGTTGCTGTTGGCTTCTGAAGCCCTGGTTGAGATTAATAAGAATGATCAGAGTTTTCAAATGTTCGATGCAGCAGTAGCTGTTGCCCGTGAATGTTCTCTCTGGACCTCCCTGTTCTGACAGTCTCTTTTCTCTCTTATGTAAATTCAGTGGTGTTGCTGTCAGTGGGAGAGGGATGTGTGAGTATGTAATTCTGAAAGGCAACTTGTAAAAATGGTTTGATGAGTCTCAGTTTTTACTGGTTACTTGGATGGTTTGAGAAATTTAGTAATGAGGAAACCTTAATCCATTCTTCCTTTGTGTGTGTTGAAATCTTTATTGCAAAAAGATTGTATGTATATAGTTTAATGGCTATCTCTAGAAGTTGACTGTCATGTGTATGTATTCTGTAGAACATAACCTAAAGCATGCTCAAAATTGGTTCTTACAGTTGGTATAATAAAAACTTCAAGTTCCTAGCAATGCAAAAGTAAGTAAATAAGTAAACGAAAGCTCCACAGGTCCCTAGTGATTCACAATCTATTATCTTTCATGGGTTCGGAAAAGAGCTGTTTGGAATCTACTACGGTCCACCCCGCCCCACAATGGGGAGCAGTTTAGTAAATAGTTAGGGAACCATTTCGTCTACAAGTAAGTTTAGGACTTGGTCACACTGGGGTTTTGAAGACAGCTGCTTCCTCCCACTACTGTCTTTCATCTGAAAAGGAACAGCGTACAGAAAAATCTCCTTTGTCAATTGCCATCCCCAGGACTTGATCGTTGCTCTTTTTATTGAGGTTGTAAGTTTCACTTTTAATCTTTGCAAGCCGCAGTAGTTAACTACTGGTGTATCTTGTCTGCCACTAACGTTTAAGCACATCTAATACATTAAGGATGGTTCTGCATTGCCTCTTATCTGACTAGCATCTGTGGGTGTCAGCTGCCAACAAGTAGCTCGAGTGTCTGTGCCGCTCCTGAATACCCACAAGCTGACACACTCTCTTCTGATAAAAGGTACCTTCAAATATGCATGCGATTTTCAGTATAAATTTTGTATGCTTAAATGCTTCCTGTAAGGGAATCGTTCGACCTAATAAAATGACTTGGCTGGGACTTTTTAGAAAGCTGGATATAAATATCACTAGAGACTGTATAGCTCACATAAATACTTCACTCAGAGCTTGGCTGAGCATTTTCAGAATGCTTCTGGAAACATTTGTGAATATCATCATGAAATCTGAGCTCAGAGGAAGGGTCGGGGTAGAGGGAGTCAGTCCAAAGGGCCACCCGCCCGCCCAAGGAACCAATAAAATAAGGGCCAACAGACCATGGCTCAGTGGTGGTAAAGGAAGAGTTTTGTGCTTTCAGCTCTTATCCAACTAACCACCCTTATTTTGACAGTGTGTGTGCACAATGCCTTGTCTGAAAGGCCACACATCTGTGTTGAGAGGTACCTTGACAGTTACAGTATATTCTCCTCCAGAGAGCCTGTGTATCTGTGTAGAGAGCAAGACCATAGAAATCAAAGAAGTGCCAGTCTTTTATGTTTAATGGAATATTTTCTTATAATACTGTGCAAGGTGCTTACAAACCTTTAAGGTGATATTCGAACAGAGTGAAGTATTTATTGCTTTAAAGTTATCCGTAGTAAAGATTAGCTTGTAGTTTGTGGTCGTGGTGGCGGTGGCGGCGGTGGTGGTGATGGTGATGGCGATGCTGAACCTATGACTCTTTGTGTGTCACAATGCCGAAGTCCTCCATGGTCAAGAGACAACTCCCGCCCTATACCCATTTCTCCTTTTGTCCAGTGTTGAAGTTCAGGAAGAGAAAAACACATTGCACACCATTTTTTTCCCTTCATTTCATTCAGTTTGCATTTGCTATTCTAGTCCATAGCTTTTAACTTTATAATGAGATCTTGATACCAGGTTTCATAGAGGTGAGTAGCTGTTGTCAGTTGATTGGAATCCACTTGGTCCCTCGCCCTGTTCTGGCATCCTGCTTGTCTGATGGATCAGCAAGCAGGACGGTTAGCAAAGGCACCACTGAGATAAGGGAAAGTGTTCAGATGAGAGGTGTGGGTGCTGACCTCACAGTGCTGGCATGAGATCCATTTTATTATCACTTTCCAAGACTTTCTCTGAGGCATCTCTGTTAGTTTTCTGTTCCTTACTGCAACCCACCCACCCTCTACCCCTAAACAACACCAGCTTAATAAACAGAAGACCAGCTTTGGCCTCTCCCCTTTTCCTGAGGTCCAGTGGAATTTTTTATTATCCTAATTCTTACTGTGCAAGGTGCTTAAAAGTCTGCAAGATGATGTTGAAGTGTGTGTGAGTCCAATCCTTGCTGCCATCACTGTATCTGGCCCGGACTGTGCACATGTATAATCCGGGTGCCGTAAATCATTCAGAATTAGAAGCTGTGCTCTGCCTCCGACCCGATGACTTGTACCCGCCCACGGTCATCACAGCTGGCAAACAGTGGTGGCCTATTCCGGGGCTGGTATAAGAGGCTGTGGCTGGCAGCTGTGAGTATCAGCTCGGCTGAGATTCCATGTAATGTGGCCCCAACTTTTTTCTCCTTATCCAGACTGCTCGCCAGAAGCTCAGCCCAAGTATGTCAGAGGTGGCAAGCGTTATGGACGAAGGTCCTTGCCTGAATTTCAAGAATCTGTGGAGGAGTTTGCAGAGGTGACAGTGATCGAGCCCCTAGACGAAGCGCGGCCCTCGCACATCCCAGCTGGTGACTGCAGTGAGGTAAGGAGCAGGTCTCAGGGTTCCGGGATGATGGTCACGTCCATGAGGCAGGGGGACGGGAGAAGTGGAAGATTTGATGCCACACACACTTTCCTTGGCTAGCGGCTCTCTGCTGAGGTTACGACTTGCCTTTTGGACCTAGCCGGTTTGTGTTTCAGTTATTTGAATGTCTTCACCTCTGTTTCAGCTTCTAGCGCGCTGACCTTTCAGTGTGTGCTTTACATGCATGCGCTTAACTTTCAGTACTTTCACGGTGTCTGAGGTCGTCCAGCTCTCAGAAATATCGCTTCCCCTCCATGCACGTTTTTCAGTAATCTAAAAGGCTAACAAAGTCTTTCCCACTCCCTATCCAAACTATAAAACAGCATCCGTGGCAGGTAGAGAATGAAAGCCACTTTAAGAGCCTGCATCTCACCTTTTGTGGCATGAGGGAGCAACTACACTCAGTTCCTACCCCAAGGCATGGAGCAGGGCACTGTCCCCTTGCTCAGTGGTGGCCCTGGTTCTTCCTAGCTCTTCTGTCATACCCAAGCCGCCTCCCCTCCAGCCTGCAGAGATTTGCCCACCTCCCCTGGCCATCACCTACCAACAAAGGAGGAGCAGTAATAGTTTCTTTACGGCTCATTGACGAGCATCCCAGTTGTAAAAGATGATTAAAAATGCCGTGCTGAGCAAGCTCTAAATATTTCTTGCTAATCCTAGATCAGATTGGGGCTGAAAATACTTCAGATACTAATATAGACTGGAAAAGAGGCAAGTGCCTCAAGATTCTGAAAGCGGGGGTGGGTGGGGGTTTGCAAACGTGTGTGTGTGTGTGTGTGTGTGTGTGGTTGACTAACATCCCTATTGAGCTTATTGAAATCTGTAGGAAACTTGCTCCCAGTAATTTCTCCAGCATTCAGATGAGTATCCTTAAATTTCCTGTATACTTACAACCCCATGGTAACAAGGAAGGCAGTACTGAAATGTACAAGAACACATCTGCCAAACAGCAGTTTGTGTTGTTTTTGGTTTTGGTTTTTTTTTTTTTTTCAGTAAGTGAGGTTGCTGTTCTCATCCAAGATGTGAAGGAACAATGTCAGAAATGAGAGTGAGAAAAAAAACAAAGCGTCTAGAAGAGAGAGAGAGAAGTCAAGAACATGGAATAAGAGTTGTGTAGTGGGGGAAGGGAGGAGAAGAACGCTGCCTAGAACATCAAGGTGCAGGTGCCCGGTCAGCCTTGGCAGGGCCTCTTCTTGTCTGGGGTCCAGTCAGTGTTGGGGGCCCTTTCCCTCTCTCAGGAAAACACACTTGCGCGCACACACAAAGAGGAGGCAAGGGAGGCAAGGACTTCGCATACTTCAGGTGGAGCAGTATTTATAATACTGTATTGCTCTTGCTTTCAGGAAGGATATCATGTTACTACATAAAGTCTGCTTCATAACCCTGAGTAGTGTGAAATGTATTTGACATACTTCCACCTGAAAAAAAAAATAGGTAAAACATCTCAGCTTTATATTTGGGAAACCACTTTTAAGGCTGGTGTCTCATGTCACCAAAGGTTCTGAAGATATCATTCTTTGGTGGTAATAAATTAAATGACTACTTGTCTTTTGACACAATAGCTTCTGGTCACCCCTTGGTGATACCCAGAAAGTTCCCAGGCAGAGCTAAATGTTGCAGGCAGTGTATTTCTTATGACTTTGTTATAGTTTATTTACTGACTCCTAGGCAGACTGACAGCTTTAAAAGTGAGACTTCGATTTCACATATCAATGAAGAAGAGTTGAAGGCTGGGCCTGGGTAAAACCTTGCCACTTGCAAAGAATTTATTGTAAGAATCCTTTCTCCCCCAGTATATTACATAAACTTCCTTAAATCCTCCAGAATCCTCTTGGTGCTATATACAGAATGTGTAGTGTTCACAGCCTGCCATCAGAGGCCTGCCAAGGGTCATTTCTCTGGATTTCTCTTCCCACTGAAGACTCCTCCTGATTCTGATCGCGTAGTCTATTTTATCTGCCACGCTTGGCCTCCTACACAGGTCCCAATAACAACTTTTTTGCTCTGCTTTTTTTAATTGCCCAAAGTGGACTCAAACCAAAGACCTGGCTGTTTCTTACCTAAATAGGAACTGTTTGACAAGCTGAATTGATCCTGTCATTTTTCAAATCAACTTTAAAAACTGCTAGCTTCTCGTTAACCTTTAATGATCCCATTGGCAGCTAAAAAGACAAATTCCAGCCTTGTGCCCCAGCCCTGACTGGGAATCCCACTCGCCGGTGTCTCCATCGGCACCAGGCTGTCTTCTCGCCGCACACCACCCTGTCACAGCGTTTCTGTTTCCTGGCTGGTGTCTGCATTAGCAGCAGCAGTTGAGAGAGTCACTCACTTGGCCAGGGTCACCTGCCTGGCAGTATAGGCTCACTCTAGAAACCTTTGTCCCTTCTCTAAGGGCTGGCTGGGTCTCTTAGAAGACACAGGTAATTTTCCTTATTGTAGAGCCAGCCCCCCGTTGGGAAGAAAATCTCAGCGGCATTTAATCCCCCAAGGAGTCCAAATCTGTCAGGAGTTCTTTGCTATCCTGCTGGCTTCTTTTCTCTCCCATTTGTTTGCTGAAGTGTAAAGGAGTTAGGAATTTAGTCTTCAGGTTCGCACTTCCTCTCAGTGCCCACCTGGCAACAGTGATGGAGGTTGGAGAGTTGGGTCTCCATGGATGTGAATATTTCATAGGGCACAGTCAGATGGTGAGCGGGAGACTGCGTACTTGGGTCCTCTTGTAGGTTTTCTGTGACTACCGGGTCCTGGCTTAGGGCAAGACAGCCTTCTTAGGACTGCAGTTTTTCCTGGTCTCATCATGCCTAGGTTTTTCTAAAATGACTTCAAGGTTTCTTCATGAAGGCAATAAAAGATCTGAATAGGAATTAAACAGAAGGGTGATTTGGCTGCTGCTGTCACTGGGAGACTAATTTTTGCTCTAGTTGAGTCAAGTAATCATCTCGTTGACCTGAGAACTTGTGGAGGGTTAGGCAGTGTGATGAAACAGTGTTACAAGCACCTATCAGAGAGGCTCACTTCCTGTGAGGAACTCATCCTACGTTGATAAGTGAGCAGCCATCTGAGAAGGGAGAATAGTAATTCTTCCCTCTTTTTTATCTAGGGTTGTGCTATAGTAGGGGAAGTTGCTACAGGCCAACAAGAATTCATTCATTCGCTCATTCATTCATTCCCAGGCTCTTGAGTTAATTCTGCATCCTTATTTAGGAGACCTTCTCCCATAAGCATAAACCAAAATTACTGGTAATTCTCTGCGGTCTACCTGTCACCCCATCCTTCCTCTTCTGTTCAAGAAAATATCTAGATGTGCAGATGAGTGTGGGGCTATTACAGATGTTGCTTTGAAACAGCTAAATTTATATTTGAAGTTAAGTCCCATGTGAACCTTCAGGCTCTGTTAGTTGCGAGCCCCTTGGCACTCTGGTGACTTCAAGGTGCACGGATGTGACATGCGGCCACAGGTGAGAACCCACATCACGGTGTAGCCAGGGTTCTGCCATGTCCCCTGCACAGAATATATGAAAATAAACCTGTCTACAAGGTGTTTGGATCACATTCGATTTTGGTTTCAGTTCATCCGTGTCAGAGTCCCAATATAAACTGTAAACGTTTAATAGTCTCCATCCTACCCTGCCTCCCTCACCCCATGCTTTCATCAGGCAATTTGATTCTTTCCTGCTGAAACAGAAAATATCTAACCTAGCTATTAACCAGGTCTCCTCTATCCAGTTTAGTTTATAAGGCAATGAAGTCATTCTGTAGGGAAAGACGACTGTCATCTTGCGAAATTTCCAGCACTACAGTGTAGCCATTCAGAATTTCATTTAGGAAGCCTGGAGCAGAACGTGCTATTTCATAAGTGACAGGTAGGTCCCACCAGCAACTGCAGTGTACTTCACCTTCCAATTTAGGGTGTTTATCTGGTAGATGGATCCCTCGGGAGTGTGACCTCTCATCTCGGGTGGTATTGAAAGGAAAGTGGTGATTTTTCTTTCTTCATGGGATTGTTTCCACTCAGGCAAATCCAGCGGGACATTCTCTTCTCAATTAATCCAACCTAACAAAGGGCGCATTCTTGATTCCAACGCAAGGTGTGATTAATGAGAAGGTTTGGTTGACCCTGTTCTGGCTTTGTTTTATTGAGATACAGAAGTAAAGCTTTAAGTCCAGAAGACTAAATTATTTTGCCCTTTATGTGTAATGGTTACTGATCTGACCTTGAATTTTATGCTCATATTTCTTTTGAAGGTAGAAAGAGGGGAATAAACAAAACTAATTCTCAATTCTATTCTCTATTCTTTGGATCTGGTAGGAAAGATTGTGCAATTAATACAATTGGGGCAGGGCCACTTTGCTTTCTGCCCTGGTTGAAAACAAGGGGACACCTTGTTAACTGTTTTCCTCCACAGGGAATAAATCGGGACTAGTAAGATTCTTATCAAGAACAAGGACCTTTGAACAATTATTTCTCCAACTGTAGACAATAGCAGTGTAAGCCAAACTGTGGGCTTGTCCATTGCAGTTTAAGTGAAAACCTGAGAGAAAAAGTTCAAGTTAATTGCCAGGCACCCGAGGATGGGTAAGCAAACCCTAGCTTAGCGCTGGGACTGTGAAGTTAGGAGAGCAGGGGTGGCAGTTGTTAAAGTCTCCATTCTCTCCCCAAGAAAACTCCAAAACGGATTTTGCTACCCCTACATAAGACCAAACTCCTTCAAGAAGTATGAAGCTGATTTATCTTGCCCATATGTTCATTTTCATACATGCATAAACTTTGCAGTTGAACTTTATGAATTATTCATTCCCATTGTATACAGTCAGGAAGTAACTCTAGAGCAAGCTTCTTAATAAATGAGCATGGTTCAGCTGAGCGCTTTTGTAGCTAAAATATGCTTATTTTCCCATTACTCCCATTACCTTTCTTTGTTCCAGCCTTTGACAAAGCAAGCAGTTTTGTTGCTGATGCC